TTCGAAAGAGCCCAGCCACACCCCACAGAAGCTCCCACCGGGGTTATGGGAATGCCAGCCTAGGGATTTGAGCCAAACCCTAAACCACAGCTTAGGAACACTGGGGCCTGGCGCCTGGCTCTCAGCTCCACCTCATGAACTTGGGTGGTCCCCAGAGGCAGTCACACTTTCAGAGTGAGTCTTCTCATGGGGATGGAGTGTAGAGCCCCCACCTTGAAGAATAGCTAATATTTATTGAGTGCTTACTGTGTGCGGGAACAGCTGTCGACCCTCTAACTGTTCACTCTCCACAAGAGCCTAGGAGAGAAGTATGAGTACCAGCCCCATCTTGCAGATGAGTCACTTGAGGCACAGAGAGGTTAAGTAAGTTGTCTAAGATCACACAGCTAGTAAGTAGCACAGCTGGGCGTGGAATCCAAGCAGCCCGGTTTCGGAGCCCAAGTGCCTAACAACTGGGTTATGCTGCTTTTATAGAAAGAGAAACTGGGAAGCAGTGGGGCACTGGAGCCGGAGGGACTTTTGATGTAATCTAGTCCAAACTTCATTTTATAGGTGCGAAAGCTGGGGCTGAGAGGGGTGGAACTTGCTAAAGGCAGAGGAAAACAACCAAACAAACGATTTTATCGAAATTATATTTAGGGCTTAAAAACTAAATAGAGACAGTTTTAACTATCATGAAACAGAACTCAGAGATTGTGTCACCGGCCGGGAAGATCCACCAGCAGCAATGCGTTACTTAGAAACACGGGTTGAAGGCTGGGGACGACCCCGACGCAGGGGTTTCCATACCGAGTTCCTGAAGCCTGAGGACCCCGGGCACTGCTCTCAGGGGTCAGGGGAGGCCAGCAGGTGAGAAGACTGGGGTGCCCTCTTCTGCACCAATCAGAGCATCTCTGCTTTTATCTCTTTTACAAATGGGGCTGCGCATATGATTTTGATGACAAGAACGGCTTTGTTGCCAAAGCATGTTGGGTAGCCCCCCTGCATGCACAGGCCCGGGGTGGGGGACCAGGAGGGGCTGCTCTCTACCCCTGGGAAACCGAGGACCCTGTGCACAGACCCCTCCCCTGCCCTGTAACTAGGAGTCCCCACCCTCTCACTGCCCTCCCGGCCCCTTCCGATAATGCTGACTGGCCCTTTTCTGCAGAATCTCTGATCCCCACCTTGGCTCTGGCTCCCCAAAGAGTGACTCAGGCCCCGTGGGGCGGCCGAAGCCAGGTGACCAACTGAAACGGGTGGGGTGCTTTCCCACAGCACACACTGGGTTTGGGGCTGAGAGAGAGCTGGGTTCAGGATCCCCATAATCCCGGGCTGAACGCGAGGGCTCACCTCCTTCTCCTCCAGGACGGCCCGGAGGCAGCACGCCCTCCTGGCCCTGCTCCATGCCCTGTCAGCCGCTCAGCTTTCTCTGACAAGGTTGGGACAGCAGCCAGAGGAGCGAGGGTCACAGAGGACAGTAGCGGGAGCTAGGGCGGTGGGGTGGGGACCGGCTTTGAGCTCTTGCCTCCAGGTCGAGTGCCCTTGTCTGATCCCTCACCTCCGGCCCAGGCAGGCAGGAGGCATCTTCCCATCTTCAGGGGGAGAGACTCTCCTCTTTGCCCCCCACTTGAGGGTGAACGCTCTCTTGCATGAGAAGCTGTTCCTTATGTCTACCGTCAGTTCCTCATGCTACAGCTGGAGGATTTGCTAAGCTTCTAGCAATTCTGACTTAATAAGGCCACAGGATACAGCTCTAGTCTAGAACACTCTTCCTGTTTGGTTTGAGTTTATTATAGGGTTTGCAATTAAGTTAATTTGGACTTAATTAATTGGAGGATGCAGAATTGGCCCCTTAGGACAGTGTCATCCCTTACTGGGTACTTTTAAGGGCAGGGCCGAATAAACCAAACAACCAATCATGTGACAAGAGCAAGGACAGAGGAGCTGGGATGCCTCTGCAGAAAACGCAGCGTGCTGGCTGAGCCCCCGCTGCTGCTCTGCTGGACCGTAAGCCACGGGTTCGTATAAGCTGCTGTGTATTTCTTTTTCTGCGGGTATTATGCAGGGCACAATCACTGATATAAAGCGCTGTGGTGTAGAATTTAAGGTCACGGTCTTTGAAGTCAGCCAGAGAGGACTGGCCTCCCACCTCCACCACTTCCTAGCTGTGTGGTCTCAGGTAAGTTACATAACCTCTCTGAGCCTCACTGTCTGCAGCTCTAAACTGAGCACAGCAGCGCCTCTTTTGCAGGGTTGTTGTGAAGAATGGGCCCGTCATAAGACAAGCACCCGGTGTCCAGCACACAACGGCGGCTCTAAATGAGAGTCCTTTCTACCTGCAAAGGCCTACAGCCTTTCCGTCTTCTTACTTGCTGTCTTGGGGATGGTGTACGCCTCAACTGAGAGTTAACTTCGCAACAAGTAGCTCATCCGTGGCTCCATGGTTTGGGCGCCCCACAGGCACAAAAGAAGACTGATTGTATATTAAACAGTATTTCTCCCCAAATCCCTTCCACTCCTGCTTGCCTTTTGTTTTGGACACTGGACACAAGTGGACACAACTCCGGGTACAACACGCCACATCATTTTCTCCTAGTGCTCGAGTGTCACAGCCACAGACCATAAGACACCATGACACGTCGTGAGCCACCTGGGGGCTCTGCAGACGCGACCCCTCCTCCCAGCCCACGGAGTCCTCGGCCCACCCCAGGGCAGCCGGAGAACAGAGGGTGACTGAGAGGTGCAGGTGACGTAGCAGGGGTGGAGCTCCGGGGGTCGCTCAGGCTGCATCCTGGCGACCCTCCCACCTCCTCTCGCAGGAGGAAAGCAGACGCCCAGACCTCAGCTCCCCAGGGCGGGCCCAGGCCTCCTCTGCTCCTGCCCCTGCAGCCCAGAGACCTGGAGTAGCCCCGCCTTCCTCCCCAGCCGGCCAAGCCTGGGGTCAGGGTGGAAGTCGGTAGGGGGGGATGCTGGTGGCCTCAGAGCCCGCTTGACCTGCCCAGCCCGTTCACTCAGGTTTGCTCAGGTGCCCAGTACAGGATCGGCTGCTGCACGACTTAGGCAAACCGACTTGTTACTTCTCTGGAGAGGCCAGAGAGTGCACAGCCTTTGGGACCAGACTGATGTGGGTTCGAGTCCCGGCTCCACCACGTGCTCCTGTGTGATCCTGGGGCTACTTGCCCTCCTGGAGCTATCAAGTCATCGTTTGTAAGCACGGCTGTGATGCCGACTCAGAGAGCATTTAGGGAGAGGAATTGATAGCACATATAGAAAGCATCCAGCACAGTGCCTGCACACAGTGGGCACTCAATAAAGACCCACTGAAGGGATGAGTGAAGGGGATGGAGGAGACGGTCCCGGCTCTAGAATGCTCCCTCACTACCGGTGGAGGGACCACCCCTCGGGCTTCCTCCCATGGACGTTTGATGGAGCCTGGAGCCTCCGGTCCTCGCTGCCACGGCTCCTCCGCCCCCTCTCCATCTTCTTAGAGGCCACCTGGGCAGGGGCAGGGAGAGATCAGCAGAGCCAGGATGGGCGGGATGGGGAGAGGGCTGTAGGTTAGAGGAGAGGAAGAGGAGGCAGGGAGAGGGGATGAGGGTGGAGGTGGGGAGAGGAGGAGCTGGCAGAGGCGAGGGCTCCCAGCCAGCCCAGCCTTCCCTGCAGGCCCTGGTCCCTCTTCTCATCCCCCGGGCCCTGCTCTCTCTCTTTGCGTGGAGGGAGCCCTTCGTTTTGGCCGTGATCAGCTTTCGCTCGGTCAGGGGCAGCTCAGGCCTGCAAGAGTTACCCGGGCCCTGATTGCTGCTGTTCCCGGATCTGAAATAGCGGGCTCACGAAGGATTAAGAACAGGGAGCTGCAGATTTGTCTCATTTCTCCTCATCTCAATGGCAAACCCAGGCAGGAAAAGAATGAATGCCTGCCGACCTACTATGTGTTAGGCACCATAGGCCTGTCGTCTCATTACCTATGAGGCAGGTGTCCCATTTTATAGACGAGAGGATGGGTTGAATGGGTTCAGAGAGGTTAGGTGACCTGCCCAAGACTGCACAGCTCCTTAGTGGCAACAGGTGAGATCTGAACATAGATCACTCAGTGGGGAAGAACTCAAGTTAGGGCTTAAAAGTAGGATTTTGCATTCGAAAACATTGGTCTGAGAGGGGGCTTATAGGTTTCACCATTCTACCAAAGGGGTCCCCAGCACCAATCAAGATACAGATTCCTGCCCCTGAGTGCCAGGATGGTTATGGGAAGACAGAACACGCTCTGTCCTGTGGATCCGAGCAAACAGCTGTCAGCAGGTGGGGCAGCAGGGCGCACAGCGAGGGCCCCCGGAGATCGCTGACCTGGAATCCTGCAGACGCAGTGCTGAGCAGAGGCGGGGGAAGGAGCATGCGCTCTGCGGGCCGGGGCTGGGGCTGGGGTTGTGCTATGGCAGGTGTTTCCTCCCCGGCACCTCTGTCTCCTCCGTCCCCAGCTCCTCGCTGGGCACATGGCAGGTTCTCTTGACTGTGTGTCAAGGCGGGGGGAGTCTTGCTCTGGGTTTGGAAGGCTATACGGCTGTAGCACGGACAACCCCTTTCATTGTGTACATGGGGCCAAGTGCACACGGAAGAATAGCAACAATGACAGCGACAGCCGTATGTGCAGTTTCTGACAGTTTACAAAGCACTTTGTTAATCGTGACCTCACTACCCCTGACAGGAGGAGAAGGTAAATATTTGTATTATTTCCAATTTACGGGTGAAGCGACTGAGCCTCGGAGAGTGCCAGACTCCAGGTCTGCAGAGCTGTCAGGGCAGGCGGTGCGCCTGAGCCCAGGCCCTCAGCTTCCAAACGCTGTGCAGCGAGAGGTCGCCTTGTCTGGAGCAGGGAGACCGCTGGGAGGCTGTGAGATGGGAGTGTTGCGGGCGGGGGCCTGCAGGGCTGGGCAGGGCAGGGGCCCACGATTCAGGAGGCCCTGGGGCGCTGGTTCAGGTTCTCCTGGAGCCGAGTGTGCTGGGATCCAGTAACGTGTGCCCTCCGAATGACTTCTGTAGGTGTGTTTAGTGACATGCTTAGCAGGTCCGAGAAGGATGGGCCGGTGCCAAAGGCCAAGCCCAGGGATGTTTCGGATTTTTCCCTTTATGCCCTTGCAACCAAGCCCTGCTGCTCCAGCACATATAAGAGACCCGGGCCGGGGTTGCGGCACTCACCGGCCTGGCCTCTCTCTCGCTTCTCTGACAACTCCGAGCTCACTCTCCTCTCTCCAGCCATGATCGCCAGACAGCAGTGTGTCCGAGGCGGCTCCCGGGGCTTTAGCTGTGGCTCGGCCGTCGTAGGTGGAGGCAAGAGGGCAGCTTTCAGCTCGGTCTCTGTGTCCGGGGGCGCGGGCCGCTGCTCCTCCGGGGGCTTCGGCAGCAGGAGCCTCTACAACCTCGGTGGGAACAAGAGCATCTCCATCAGCGTGGCCGGGGCCCAGCAAGGCGCAGGCTTCGGGGGTGCGGCAGGTTTTGGGGCTGGTGGCTTTGGTGCTGGTTTCGGTGCCGGCAGCTATGGTGGTGGTTTTGGGAGCTCCTTCAGTGCACGAGGTGGTGCTGGCTTCCCCGTCTGCCCTGCCGGGGGGATTCAGGAAGTCACCATCAATCAGAGTCTGCTGACCCCTCTCCATGTGGAGATTGACCCTGAGATCCAGAAGGTCCGGACGGAGGAGCGGGAGCAGATCAAGATCCTCAACAACAAGTTCGCCTCCTTCATCGACAAGGTGAGCTGTCCCTTGGCCAGACAAGGTGGTAGAAGCCAGGGTTCCTGCACCCCAGGATCTCAGACCTGCACCTGCCACGGGCATTGGGAAAACCTCTGAATTTCTCTGGGCCCCTGTTTGTCCAGCTGTTAAAGGAGCATCATTACTCTGAGTCTTTCTCTTCTGTCCCATGGCTGGTGGGCAGATAGCTCAAAGCAGTGACTGTTTGGGTTTCCTAGATGTGCTGTGTGTCACTGGGGAAATCACTCAACTTTTCTGGTCCAGTCACCTCAGTTATCAAGTGGGTTCATTGTTTCCCTGCCTTTTCTCAGATTTTGGTTTTGGAAGTTACACAGTTAATAATTAAGAAATTAGCAAATAATTAATTACAGTTAATGTAATCATTTAACTATTGGCACTTCTGTTGTTGGAGCAGAAGGAAACCAGGCTGGTTTCCCAAAAAGGGACAGCCTCTAAAGGCAGATTCTAGGTCCCAACAGGACCTGGAAAGGTCGTCGCTTCATCCTCCTGACTCTGGGTGAAATTGCTCATTTCTCTGGGTCTGTCTGAAGAGAGGAGAGGGTGGGGCTCTCCTTTTCTTTTGTATTCCGACGCCCTTTCCATGCGAAGTCTAGAGATTCAAGTCCTTTTAGCTGAGTGACAGCCAAGGATAATGGGTGATGGCAAGCAGATCAGACCCAGAGAGCTGACTCAGCCAAAGATTAACGCCTGAACGGGTGGGAGGAGCACACTCGGTCAAGGATGCCTGGCTCTCTGTGCATCAAAGTCTCAGTTATCTAGACGTGTGGGGCAAGAACGAGCAGTCTTGGAGTAGACTGAGTGGGAATACTTGCTCTTCTCGCTAGTTTGGATAAACCCATAATAGCTTCAAGAGGCTTTACTGTGACTCTCGGACACACAGCTATAAAAGCAGGACAAAGTTTCGGTGCTTCTTTCTCTCGTCTCCCCTTTTGGATTCAGACTGTGATCAGTCACCCTTACCTGCTTTCCTTTCGATTTGGAAGCACAGAAAGTGGAGATGTCATGCTGAGCTGCTCCCCGGGTTCACCCGGCTCCATCTTTCACGGAGAGAGGGGAAGGGCAGGGGAGTCCCCTTGCATGACCGAGTCTGGCTGAGCCTCAGAGTCTGTCTGGGGCCTTGATCTAAAATAGTTATGCTCAGTTGCATACAGGTTCCCAGGAACACTCCAGGTCCGTTTATAAGTAAGTTTATTTAGAAAATCTTCAGTGAATTTACCATTCCTTTGCCTTGGGTCAGGACCGCTTTGAATGCAAGCCCTCAGACTGTGGTTGTAGTTCTAAATTTTAGTCTATTTTACAGTTTCGTAGAAGTTCAGTGTTCTCAGCAACTCACCCCAGGACCTGGGGATCCCTGTGGGGGAAGTTTTCTTGTGCAGATCAGGCCCTGCTGCTCTGGCTGAGCTCTGTTCTCCATGGCCCACACGGCCCATTGCTGCCCCGGCTCACGAGTGGGGCCACCGTGTTGACTCTAGTGGATGGTGCCTGGTTGTGGTCTGGTGGCCTGCTCAGTGGCTCTTGGGCCGCCTGGTTGGCTTGGATTGACTGGGCTGGTGTTGGCCCTGGTCAGCCCTCCTGCCGCAGCTCCGGGCCCTCATCGGTTGGTCGGTGCCTTTTTAACACACAGGTGCGGTTCTTAGAACAACAGAACAAGGTCCTGGAGACCAAGTGGAAACTCCTCCAGCAGCAGACGACCACCACGTCCAGCAAAAACCTGGAGCCCTTCTTCGAGGCCTACCTCAGTGCCCTGAGGAAGCAGGTGGACACGTTGGCCAATGACAAAGGACGCCTGCAGTCTGAGCTGAAGACCATGCAGGACAGCGTGGAGGACTTTAAGACCAGGTGCTGGGGGAGGGAGGGAGGACGCCATCCCACAAATCTGCCCCGCCGTGTGCGGGGGTCCTTGGGCTCCTCTCTACTCATTCAGAATCCCAGACTCTGAAGATATCCCAAGGCGGTCAGGATGGTCCTCTAGTCTGTTCCCCTGCGTCTGCATGGTCACATTTTAGTGGGGTGAGGTCGAGTAATCCTAAGATGCCCCAAACATAAAATGAGCGATACATGTAGGAAGCTGGGCTTGCCATCTACCAACCAGATTAGAAACCAAACAGATGAAAAGTAGTACAGCATGGTCAGAAGAATCCAGGTTGTAAAACCAGGTGGACCGGGTTTGAATACTGATTCCTCCACTTACTAGCTATGTGATCTTGGGTTAGTTGCTTAACCTCTCTGAATCTCAGTTTTCTTCATCTTTAAAATGGGGATAATAGTCACATCTTATAGGTCGTGAGAATTAAATGAAGTTAAATGAGGTGGAGAAGGCACGTAGCACAGTGCTGGACGTATAAGGAACATTCGATCCATGGTGGCTCTTATAATGCTCACTATGGGATGGAGCTGAGAAAATACCAACCCTCTCTCTCAGTTCACTCCCACACAAAACAGAGAGAACTGGAGCGTTGGCAACACTCCTGAGAATTGAACCCACCAAATGGCCCAAGGACAGCCCTTCTACAAAATAAAATCAACCAGATCATTGCTGGTTCCTCTCCTCATATCTCATCTCCTGAAAATAGTCTTTTTAGGGTTTGGTTTCCACTTCTCTGGATAAACCAGAGTCTAGACTGGTACCTCATACAGGGTAATTATTCAATAAACGCAGGTTGAATGAGTATCTGCACGAACATGGGGAAATGCAGCCAAGTAGTGGATATTTCCCAATGGTTCCGTGTTTGAAAACCAGCAGCGGAGAGCTGAGAAACACTACTCACTGTGGGGCTTCGTCTCTTCCTTCCCATCCCCACCCCCAGGTACGAAGAGGAGATCAACAAGCGCACAGCTGCCGAGAATGACTTTGTGGTCCTCAAGAAGGTGAGAGAGGAAGGGGGCAGTGCTGTGAGGGGCCCCTGCCCTCGGGAGCGGTCTTTGACTTGAATCATGGGTTCGTCTGTCTCTGCCTCATCTCTACCCCATGTGGTGCCATCCAGATCTAACTGAACCAGGGCCTAAGGAATTAAGGTTGGGATAAAAGCCCATTTGGATAATTAACTTCCATGTCTGCAGGGGGCTTTAGGGGCAGAATGTGTCAAATGATGTCTCTCTCCACCTCGCCTGGTGAAGAGAAGCCTTTCCTAGATGCTGCTGAGAACCCCTTTGCGTGTCCTTTAACCCCCTGCCCCCTGTCGGAGTTCCTGGCCCTTGTCTCCTACCCTCCCTCCTCGTCTGCAGGACGTGGACGCCGCCTACATGAACAAGGTGGAGCTGGAGGCCAAGGTGGACGCCCTGAATGATGAGATCAACTTCCTGAGGGCCCTCTACGCTGCGGTGAGGACACCACCCCCCTCCACTCAGGGAACGGAATCCTTTACCTGTGAGGCTGCTGCTTGGAGTCCACAGTTCTTTGAAAGGACCCTTACTTCAGGGCAGTGGGCTCTCCGCAAGGTCAGGGAGAGGAAGGGTTGAAGTGAGGAGACTCAACTGAGAAGTTCTCAAAACCAGGTCCTGTCTTAGAGGAGGCGATTAGATCTAAAGATTGCATGCGATGGAATTTATTGCCACCTAGCATTTCTCTAGAGACATGGATCCATTGTGTTTCCTTCCACCCAGCATACTGAGTGCCCACTGGCGTGGCATGGCATAGAGCTTCCAGGGAGCAGTAATTCCTCATGCTCCTACGTAAAATTGCTTTTATGTCCTGAGATGTCACCAACCACTCGATTTTGACATAGAAATTTACCCTTCCTCTCCTCTCTGCTCTACACATTGGGAATGCCAACTCTGCCTCCATCTGAGCCTGTGGCATGGCCATTTCCACGATGGTGGCAGACTCCTGGTGTCACAGATGAGGAAAGGCTCTCCAGGAAGCCTGATGTGAGACATTTTCTGCACAGGAGCTGTCCCAAATGCAGAGCCATGTCAGCGACACATCTGTGGTCCTGTCCATGGACAACAACCGGGACCTGGACCTGGACAGCATCATTGCCGAGGTCCGCGCCCAGTACGAGGAGATCGCCCAGAGAAGCAAGGCGGAGGCCGAGGCCCTGTACCAGATCAAGGTGGGTGTTGGTGATCTCTCAGGAGGTGGGAGTGGCTTCCGGGGCTCTGCTTTTGATGTCCGTGGGCAGGAGATCATCAGCTCCAGCCCAAGAGAAGTCAGGATGAACTGATTCTTCCAGGCTTCACTGATCCTAGTCTGATTTGAGATTCTGTGACATTTTGTGTTATCCCTGCCGCCTGTGGTTATTCTTGCTGAGTTCACTTGGAAATGGACCCCAACCCAAACACCCCTGACCCCTGGTCGCCTGTGTCTCCCGGGTATTAGGTCCAGCAGCTCCAGACCTCAGTTGACCTACATGGTGACAACCTCAAGAACACAAAGAATGAGATTTCAGAGCTCAACAGGTTGATTCAGAGGCTGCGGGCCGAGATCGAGAATGTCAAGAAGCAGGTAGATGTCACCTCCTTCCAGCCGCAGTCCAGGGCCAGGGGCCTAAGGCAGACGTCTCCTTAGCAGACAAGCAGATAAGGCATCAGGCTAGAAGATCCTGAGCTTTTCTGCAGGGGATTTGTAGTTCTCTACATAAGCCACAGCCAGGTCTTTCCAGCAATATCCTAGCAGACATGACATGACATCCTAGTAATTATGTTTCTTGGGTCGTTTTCATTCGTTTTTCTCATCTTCATCTAATCAGTCTGGTGGGGGCATTGGTGGACTCTGGCTGGAGTGAACGAAATGCATAAGAGTCAGGGAAGGTGGGGAGAAGGACAGGCAGAATCCTGACATCTTAACCGAAGCAAAGCTGCTACAAGAGAGGGGGCAGTTGTAGAGGTCCTGATAGCAGGACACTGATGCTGCTTGTCCCACGCTCTTGTCTACAGTGCCAGACTCTGCAGGCATCTGTGGCTGATGCAGAGCAGCGTGGGGAGCTGGCCCTAAAAGATGCCCACAGCAAGCGCACAGAGCTGGAGGCCGCCCTGCAGAAGGCCAAGGAGGAGCTGGCCCGGATGCTGCGCGAGTACCAGGATCTCTTGAGCGTGAAGCTGGCCCTGGACATCGAGATCGCTACCTACCGCAAGCTGCTGGAGGGCGAGGAGTGCCGGTGAGGGGGGAAGGCAGGGTAGGAGCATGAGGAACGGAGAGGTCCAGGGCCCTGGCAGGACCAGGGTACCTCTGCTGGCCACCTGCCTCAGAGCTGCGCTGGTACATTATGAACCAGAACAGTGTTAGACAACAGGTTTACACGCAGGCCTTAAATTTGGCTGCTTAAAGATGGGCAAGGTATTGACACTTGCTTATTGAACGAGACGTGGCTCTGGGCTTGCTGTGGCTCATGGCTCTTTCTGTCCCCCACAGAATGTCTGGAGAATGCCAGAGTGCCGTGAGCATCTGTGAGTACCTTCTGCCCCTGCCATGGCCGTTCGTTCATCCTGGTTTGGGCTGAGACTCCTGGTGGCCAGCACTGTTGGAGTAACCGTGTCTTTTGCCTTGTTCTCACAGCCGTGGTCAGTGGTGCCACCAGTGCAGGAGGCATAGGTGGAGGATTCGGAGCTAGCTCCGGGTTTGGCCTGGGCAGTGGTTTTGGCTCTGGCTCTGGCTCTGGAAGCGGCTTTGGGTTCGGTGTCGGTGGCAGTTCCAGCAGCAAGACCATCTCCAGCACCACCTTGACCAAGAGATCCCACCGATAGAGAAGACGAGGGTCCTGCAGCCCCTGAGCCCAGCCGGGCCCAGCCCTGGTGTCTCTGTGCTTCCTTCCCCCTGCCTCCACCCTCTTTTTCTGGGGCTTCTCTTAGCAGTGTCACCTCAGTGCTGGGGTGTGGACTCTGCCCTCTTGGAGTTTGGTAGCTTCTTCTCGATTTGGGCTTGGTGACTCCCCTGGAATGGGAGGGGTGTCAGCTGACTCTTCACCTCCACGGGCAGAGGAGAACACAACCAGGAGCTTCATCTCCAGAATTATCATGGTCACAAATGTCCCCTCCCAGCCCAATGCCGTCTCCTACTAGATCCTGGATCTCCCTCTACATCAGGACCAAACTCCTTCTCCATCACTTGGCAGCAACCGGCCCTGCAAGGTCAGGACAAGAGCCACTCAGAGTCCCACCAACTCTTCTCCTTCCCTCTGTCTACCTCTGGGTGCATCTTCAATAAAGCGCTTTTGTCATTCACTCTGAGCAATTGTCCTAGTTCTCTGGGGAGAAGTCTCCAGAATTCGGGTGAAGGTGGAGGAGCTGGGGTCTGAGGGATTTGCCTGTACAGATCAGGGTCATCAGCTAATTTCTCAAGTGTCTAAGTTGCCCAGATTATTGAGGGACGAGTACAGTGTGTGGAGCCTGAAGGCTGCCTGCAGAACAAGTGCCCAGACTCAAAACACCCAACAATTATTCAAAGACACCCGTCATAGGCAAAGGCGGGTGGGGGTGGGGGGGGGGCATGGGTATCTCAGTGCTGGGCCTGCAGTTGTTATCGAAACCAAAGTGGGTTCTCCTCCTGGCGAGTTAAATCAGACTCTCCACCGGAAGTAGTTATCTCACAAAGTAGAGTATATTTGTGACAAGTAGGAGACCATGTGGAATCATTTCCAGAGTCATGGCGTCCCTGAACAAAGGGAAGCAGGGATGTTTATTTCAGATGGGGAATGGATATTCAAAAGGGAGAGGTGAGTATTCGCTTGTGCAGGCTCAGATGGAAAACGTGCTTCCATGTACACTGCAGGTTATGGGAATGAGGCCTAAGCTCCTCCTGGAGAGATTTTAGCGTTAAAAATAAGGTACAGGTCCTAGAGCGCAGCTCGTGTGGTGGGGCTTGGTCTGGTTCAGGGAGGTTGGTGATTGCGTCTCCTTAACATAACAAAAGGAAAAAACAATTTGGAAAAACAGTGAAATGCTTCCAAACCCACCCTTGAGTTCTTTGGGGCAACTAGTTGGTGACACAGTGAACCTGGAGGGAAGGCGTCCAAGTAGGGAGGTGTGGGGCGCAGGGCAGGTGCGAGGACAAGCAGTCAAGGGGTCTCCCCTGAATACAGAGCGAGAGGTTACGGAGCTTGTGGAGAGTTTATACTCAGTGTCTCGCAAGGCCTCCCTGTTTGCATCGAACTCCATGCATGGGGCTCAGTCCCACCGGACCAGCCAGGCTTCAGGAACTTGTTGGTGGAACCAACCAGGTCACGATCATTGGATGGAGGAGTGAAAGCACGTCCTCCTCATGGAGCTTTCATGCCGTGCTCCCTTCCCTGTCCTCTCAGGGGTTACGTCTGGGCTCCCTTCCCCATCTTCTCAGGGGATTATGTCTGGGCTCATGGTCTATGTGACCGTCCCGGAGCGGTGGGAGAGTGGGGGGACACGAGGCAGGTCTCCTGGAGCAGTAGAGGTGAAGCTGCCTGGTTGCAGCCAGCCCTGGAAGTTCTGGTTGGTGAAATGCAGAATGGGGGTGAGGACAGCTGGGGTGGGGGTCTGCGTATAGTCCTTGTGGACACCCTGTTTCTATACTGGACCATTTCCTAGGCCTGGAGCAGCATAACCTTCTGTCGACGAAAGTAATCCATAACCAATCTATAAATGAAAATTTGGGTGAGTTTATTCTGAGCTGAAATCTTAGGGTTATAACCTGGGAGAGTCTTTCCACAAAGGAACAGAGAACTCCAAAGAAGTGAGGTGTACAGAGTGGTTATATACCCCCAGGCAGGACGTTTTGCATATGATTGAAATGTCCCTCCCACAATAGTCACAAGGTTGCCCTGTGGGCACAGCGCTTGATGGACATAGCAGGTAGTGGGTCTGCTATCTTGGTGGGCGTAGCAGGAGGCAAGTCTATTGTCTCGAGCTGGGTGGTCACAGGTGAGCACAGGAATCAGTTCCTAGCCTAAGGAAAGATGCTTAATCCTTAAGGAAATGCCAACGTTGGGAGGGGGAGGGAAGTTGCACCTTTATCTCAAGGGCCTTTTGCTCTTGCCACAGGGAATCTCTAAAGCAGATATACAATGCATGCTCAACGGCCTCCGTCAGGCCCTTTTGGAAAGACAAGGTCAGGCTGAATTAGGTTTATACCAAATGGCTTCCTCATATACTCCAATATATCCTATTGCTTGCCATTTTTATTTGTCACTTTCCTTCTCCAGAGGGAGACCACACAGCTCCTCGTGCGCACTCTGACCTGGATCCCTCCTACTGCCGGGCAGAGTGCACTCATCCTCTTGGCCACCCAAATGGTGCCTCCCACACTCGACTGCCAGGGAGTTCATTCAAACTCCAATCCTTCCAGGGCAGTGCCCATGGGCCCTTATTGTGCCCCAGGCCAATCCCTGCCCACGGGGCCTTTGTACGGATCCTGAGGCAGGCTCAGGGCAGCAGGGGCGGAGCAGCCGAGGGCTAATCCCAGGGGCTGGTGCTCCGTGGGCAGGGGCCTTTCACCAGGAGCAGCCGCTCCCTGGGTTGGAAGCTGGGTCCTTCACAAGCTCTGCCCTAATCTCCCCATTGTCTGGGGGCTCACCCCATGTGTCAGAAGAGGAAGTCTTTGACTTCTTCCCTTCACGGCACCCTTCCCCGGGGGAAAATGCTGAACTGGCTCTTTTCTGAGTTGCTGGGGTGAGGAGGAGGCCTCAAGGGTTGGAAGTGATGAGGATTTTTAGGCTGCTTAATTTTAAAACAGTTTATGATGAGGATTTTTAGGCTGGTTACTTTTAAAACTACAGATAAGAAGCAGGCTCCGAGGAGTGGAATTTGCTTGCCCTTTGATCAGAGACAGTTGCATTTGTGAAGGAAATCTCCATGACTCCCTTTCTGCACCAGGAGGAAGGGGGGATGGCCTTATCTCTGGAAACTCTTAATGGGGAAGGCAAGAACTTAAGTTGTTTACTGTCTGGCAACCTCGTGTAACTGACCCCCCACCCCCAAATCCTCCTTTGTCTTTAGTTGAAGATAATATTTGAGCGGTGACTTCTGTCATTTACTCAATCCGGTTTGATTCTTATCTAAAAGTTGTGGGACCGCCCAATGGCCGGGCCCTACCGGCACTGGTACCATTTTAACTTTTTTTCCTTTGTCTTGTAAAGAGATGACTCACATACCCATGCCTTAAATTTAGCCCTAACCCTCAACTCGGGGAAGCAGCAGGAGCTCTGACTGCCCATGGGTCCTGTCCCCACACACCAGCTCTGCCTGCCCATGGGTCCTGTCCCCATGCCAGTGGGGGCAGCAGAAGTGGCAGCAGCAGGAGCTCTGACTGTCCATGGGTCCTGTCCCCATGCTATTCTATACTATTCTCTAAATAAAAGAGCACTACTGCCAGATCTTGAGAGTCTAAGAAATCTTTCTTTCGACTCCTCGGCTCACCGACCCCGCATCAGAAGCAGGGGAGGGCTTCTCAGGTTCACCCACCAGGAGGCTGTAGGTTGTGATGAGTCCCAAAGAGAAACTGGACGCAGGTGAATGAATTTCTCATGCCCTCTGGGCAGGCGAAGGGGCCAGCCAGCCTGAGGGGCACTGCTGGGTCCCAGGGGCCTCTTCAGTTGAATTTAAAGATTTAGACACAAAGTCAGGTCGTCGATTATATACGTGATGTGTATCTTAGAATAAACGTGTTTGTATTTATAGGCAAGTGGTTATGTGAGTGTGTTTGTTTTCTATTTGTATAAGAAGACCTCTGTTCCACATAAAAGAGGAAAGACATTCATGTTGGCCTCTGTTTCCAGAACAGTCCAGGGCAGTGGAGGATCCTGGCCATGATCACAGGTTTGGAGTTGGCTGGCTAGTCAAAGGGGATTATCTGGGGTAATCTGAGATCACAGGGGCCACCCTTCTCCTAGATCCTTTGAACTGGATTCTGGCCAGCTCTGCGTGTTCAGGGGAACTATGGAGACACAGGTTGCATTACCTGCCTCTTGGCCTCTTGGGGGACCCCATGCTCTATGCGACCCCCAGCAATGCTTTACCTGGAGGTTTACTGAAATTACTTCTCACATTGTGATGGCCCAACTGTGGGTTGGCAAGCCTTTAACTTATTTGATTCATCTGTCCTGACTCCCACTCTCTAAACTCTGGACTTTGAGTCCTGGCTGCAACCTCACCTTGGTTTGGCTCGGGCTCCTGGCTTCCAAGCAACGCTCATATTTGCATAGCCCCCTCCCCCTTTACCGAGACCCTCTGTTCTGGGTCCAGACTTCTCCGTTTCAGAAAATTCTTGCCACCACGTCTGAAGTCTCCCTCCCTTGTTGCTAGTGAAAACAGAAGGATATAGCAAAGAGGGGTTTATCTAGTGTTGTCCCGTTGGGGGATTCTGGTTCAGCTTACTTTGGCTTCTAAGACCAGAGGACCTCGGAATAAGGCATGTCCACCACCGCATCTTGGGTGGATGGTCCAGGTTTAGTGAGACAGCTATCTAGGGAAATCATTGAGGGGGCCGTGCCCCATTTGTGACGCTTCGGGGCATGGTAGTAGCAGGGAAGGCTTAGGGAAGAAGCCATTTCAGCACGTGCTCCAGCTTTTTGCTGTGTTGAAGGTAGAGACTAACAGTCATCTCTTTATTCCTTGGGCCGAAGGCTGAGCATGTAAGGCTGTGGCCATGAGGCTCTTGGTGATAGTGGAAGCCCCAGGACTCAGGCTCGTTGCTGCCCAAGGCTTCCTGGTTGACTCTGGGTCAAGGTAAAATTGTTGTGCATCTTTAGTTTTTTCACTTGCAGTATTATGGATTTGATTTTCAAGAATTCAAAGGAGGAGCTTGATGAGCTAGGAAGAGGTTTTCTGGAGAAAGTGTTTCGATTGCCATTTACCATTCACCCATCCATCATCTACCACCCATTCATCCACCATCCATCCATCCACCTATCCATCATCCATCCATCCATCCACCCATCCATCCATCCATCCATCTATCCACCATCCATCCATCCACCCATCCGTCCATCCATCATCCACCCATCCACCATCCATCCATCCACCTATCCATCCACCATCCATCCATCCATCCACCCATCCATCCATCCATCCATCTATCCACCATCCATCCATCCACCTATCCATCATCCATCATCCATCCATCCATCCATCCATCCATCATCCATCCATCCACCATTCATGCATCCACCTATCCACCATCCATCCATCCATCCATCCATTCATCTATTCATCCATCCACTCATTTATTAGCCTTTGAA